ACACTAAGCATGACATGACGATACGTAGCGCTAAGCGTGCTCTAACGCGGTCCTAGACGTTATAGGTGAAGGGGGAAATCAACCGGGAAGGTGTTCCCGGTTCCGGACCTGTGTCAGACAAATGACCGGAGGGGGAAAGTTCCATGTTCAGCATGCTAGGGGCATGTGACAGATGAACGGACCGCGTATTCGGATTCGTTGGATTTTTCTGAGCAACTTTCATATAGAAAACATTTTCATCGGAGTTACGGTTTAAAAGTTACGGATTTTCAAAGTTTAAACCAATTTCTGAATTATTTTAAAAGCAGAAAAGGAAAACATGACATCAGCATGACGTGCTGATGACATCAGCAGTCAACAGACTCGCTGACCAGGTCAAACTGACCTGTGGGTCCAGTAGGACCCATTGGTCAGTGACTGGACTAATTAAACAGTGTTAATTGGACTAATCTAATACTAATTATCAAGCGGGGCCCACTGTCAGTGCCTAATTGGTGAATAGATTAATTAGTCAATTTAATTAACACATTTTCTATTTATCTAAAACATTTTATTGACTCGGCCCCACATGTCAGTGGGTTGACTCAGTCAACGAGTCAACTGGGCCCACCCGTCAGTGGCTCAGCGGGCCCCATACGTCAGCGCCAGGTCAGCCTCACCGGCGTTGGCGCCGGAAGTACTCCGGCGAGCCTCCCGCGGCGGCGCACGTCGGGAGAGGGGGTCGGGTTTCGCGCACAGGGGGTTTCCGGGGTCGTAGCTAGGCGCGTTCGACGCGGTTCGACGTCCCACGCAAGATGGAGGCGACGGCCGGGGCCAGGAACGACCGGAATGGCGCCGGCGACGAGTAGAAACGGCGCCGGAGTACGGGCGCGAGCGGGTTCAGCGTTAGAGCGCGCGAGCGGCCAAACTAACCAACTAGGCGGGGTCTACGGCACTCCAGGAGCTCGTCGGAGCTACTAGCTCGAGCGGAGGAGCTCGGTGGCGAGCCCTACGACGGCAATGGCGGACGGCGGAGCTCGGCTTGCGGGCGAGCTGGCTACGGCGAAAGGCACGGCGCGAGGAGAGGAAAGGAGGAAGGGAGGAGCTCACCGGGCGGCACGCACGATGGCCCTCGGAGGTTTAGTAGCAGCTGTGCAGTGGATCGACGCCGGCGAGCTCCTGTGATCCGAAGTGGAAGACGAGGCCGGGGCAGCGTTCCGGGGTGCCCGGCGTCCTGCGGCTCATCGAGGAGGCGTAGTCGAGGGAGGCGGAGCGGTTGGACACGAGGAGGTCGCGAGGAAAACACGGTGGCCGCGTGAACGACGGAGAACGGCGGCGATGGCGCTCGGGTGAGGCGGGCGAGCGAGACAGCGAGGGGGAGGAGCGCGTGGATCTGGGAGGCAGAAGAGGGGAGTGGAGGTAGGTGGGGAGGAGGTCGAGGCGTCAAGGGGGGGGAGGCTCGACCTTATCCTCTCGTCGGGCGACGCCGACGGGGTGGTTCGGCGGCGACCGCAAGCGCGGGTCGGTCGAACAGGAGAAGGGGGAAGGCGACCGGGGAGGGGGAGTGGTCGGGCCGACTTGGCTGGGCCAAGGCCCAGGGAAGGCATGGGGGCGCTGTGGGCCGTCCGGCTGGCCGACTGGGCCTGCCTAGCGGCTAAGGCCCAAGCAGAGAGGGGGGGGG